TAACATACCTTTCAACCTAGTGTTTCTGGATATTTCGTTCCAATTCTTCTATCTTTTGGATAATTTTATTTAATTCTTCTTTGAAACCTTTATTTTCTTTTTTCAGTGAGTTAACTTCTGACTTAATAGCTTGCAATTCTATATTCAGCTGCAAAAATTTTTCCTATATTAACTCATAAATTGCTTTTAATTGGGACTCTTCTACTTCCTGTGCTTCTGTTTCCCTTGATGACTCGAAATAATCTTGTATTTTCGTTTTTCTTGTAGTCTCTGATCTGTCTTTACAGAAACCCTCCTCAATTTGATAATATTCCTCGCTCAATATATCCACCAGCTGGTTTTCCTTCACTACTTTGGAATTCTCTTTGCATGGTCTACCAAGCCCCCTTTTTTGCATTTCTGCCTGATTCAATTGCTGTGGTAAATGAGGTAACGAACCTGGATTTGTTTCAATACCCGCAATTATTAGTAAGCACATAATTAAAATCAAAATGAACCTATTAATAAATATCCAATCCTTTAAATGGGTCATAATTCGCTTGAAATTAAACTGATGAAAATTATTAGTTTGATTTATTTAATATTTTATTTAATGCTCTAAGAATAAAAATTTTTATGATCTAAAACAATTTTAATGCTAATTTTTTGTCATTGATAATAAAATTGGTTATTGTCTAATTCTATCTTTTCTATTTTTTTATTTTTAACATTCAGATTGCATATTATGTCTTTCACACCATTTACTGATTTTCTAAAGTCTTTGTCAAACTATTTTTAAAAAATGAACTAATTAAATTACTTTCTCCAAATTGGCATCGTATGTATATATTATCTTATCCCTTTATGTAGTAATCGTCCCTTACTACATTTTATTCCCATAAATTTTTTCCTGTTTAATCACAGCTTGTAGTTTTTTCCTTCTTAATCTCAATCTTTTACATAAATCTGATGTGAAAACTATTTTCCTCCTCTCCTCACTATTAAATTTAGCTCTCATTTTCCAGATTTCTCTGAGAATCAAATTTCTTACATATATGGAATCAAGTGAAATTTTCACAATAGGTTTTACTTCACTATTAGTTAATCTATTGGGTTGTTCGGAAAGTAAGTTCGTTTTTTTTTCATGGGAAAAACACAATATTTTTATAATAAATAAATATTTTTTTGAATTATATATCAACCATTTTGGTCAAATACCTGTTGTCATCGTTTCTGGTAGTAGCATGATTTCACATTCATAAAAGTTTTGATCGTTGCTTACAAAAACTGATCCAAGTGATTTTTGACATTGTCATTTTAAGTAAATGTCTTACAGTTAAAAAAAATTTGTATAGACTGGAACAAGTAATATCCTGAGTGTGCTGGATCTGGCGAATATGGTTGGTGTGATAGTACATCCCATCTAAGTTATAACAGTTTCTGACGAGTTACCAAACTTGTGTGAAATTTGACATTATTGTGGTAAAACACTACACCTGTTTTGTTGATCAATTCTGTCCGCCTTTTCTGTTTGATTATATTACTCAATTTGTTTACTCGATGGCAGTACACTTTCGAATCAATTGTTAAATTGTCTGGTAAAAGCTCCAAAAAAAAAATTTCCTTAAAATCCCAC